GTTTGAGTTTCTGAATTAAACGTTTCTGGGTTAATATTGTTGATCCTGGGTTAATATTGTTGATCCTGGGTTAATATTGTTGATCCAGGGTTAATATTGTTGATCCAGGGTTAATATTGTTGATCCAGGGTTAATATTGTTGATCCTGGGTTAATATTGTTGATCCTGGGTTAATATTGTTGATCCTGGGTTAATATTGTTGATCCTGGGTTAATATTGTTGATCCAGGGTTAATATTGTTGATCCAGGGTTAATATTGTTGATCCAGGGTTAATATTGTTGATCCAGGGTTAATATTGTTGATCCAGGGTTAATATTGTTGATCCTGGGTTAATATTGTTGATCCTGGGTTAATATTGTTGATCCTGGGTTAATATTGTTGATCCTGGAACAACAATCCAGTCTGTACATTTAGTCCTAACCCTATCACTACCTATAACTGTCACTGGTCTGAAGAAATAAAGGCCATGCTTCATACAGATTTTGTTGTTTATTTTTGTCTCTCTCTCTCTCTTTTCAGTTGACACCGTGAAAACTACAAGAAATAAAAACATATTCGAAATATCCATTTACAAGTCTCTCGTGCCAATGTCCGATGATATGCAAGTAGATTGGGTACAGTGAATAAATCCAATCAACATCATGAATAGCACATCACATCGTGCACGTAAAGTAATATAAAACAACATTATGAAATATATAAAGGTAAATTACCGTGTGCGCCTCTCAAACCATGCAGATTAAGAAATTATTTTTCCAGACTACATGTCGCTTCTCTGCATCCATGTTCGTTCTGACCCAAATGCCGCTCCATGCTGAACCGGGTCATGTGAAACATTACGTTTTCTACGTAAATCTTACTTAAAGAACCCATAACTTTAAACACCTCAAAGGGCATACATTATACATATCGGCTTCTGAATATCACAACTGATATCACAAAACAAAAAGTTTTTTATTTATATTTCAGCATAAACATGCATCACTAGACAGGGACTGAACATAGTCTATAGCTAACATTTGTAATTCATTTATGTTGTAATGTGAAGTTTGAGGATTGTGGAGCTTGAGCGCTGTAACAGACACACAGGTGATGCGCATCAACAGGTAGATATACTGACCTCTGGTGGTGAATGGATAGTACAGCAGCATGTGTTATATTGACGAGAAATTACAATGTATAATGGAGAGATTTGTGCAAAGTGAATTGTTTTTATGTGCTAGGTGACGAAATTGTTTAATGTAATGCTATACCAATGGATTAGGCACATTTGTCATAGCATAAAACAGCAATGACAATCAAGTCGCAAAGACTCTTAGGTTGATTTTTTGGATAGATTTTCTTTTGGGAAGTTGACATAGGGGAGCGTGGGACACAACCCAACACATTTTGATTTTGGGTCAATTATTAAAAAAATAATTAGGTTAGATTCATCTTTTTTTTTTTTTACACAAGCAACATCTCTGCTACAAATGAACAAAGTTTTTTTCTAGGACCATTTTCACGCAGTTGCACTGAAAGTGACAGAAGTGCAAATGTTACAACTTACCCCATATGCGGGGGTTATTTGTAACAGACAGAGGGGTTAGTTGTAAGTTAACACGTGTGTGTAACATAATTCAGTACTATTTTTATCTGTATATTTTTATATTGTTTGTACATCTGTATAGAGATCCAAACATCCTTCTATTATGGATCAATATCAGAGGTATATGAAAGGGGTACACAGTTTTGCAAATAAATAAATAAAATCATCAAATATTGTAATTGCTATTGAATTGTATTTTATATTATATTTGTGTGTGGCAGCTGCATGCAAAATTATTATTATTAATAATAACAGTAATAATAATAAAATCACATTTTCGAAGGGTTTATTGCATGAAAAACAGGCTTTTTAATAAAATAAAAACAAGTGATCAATGCATAGTTAACAAATGTGGGGGAAAAAAATCATAATTTGACATTTAAATTCCAACATTGTTTGTGAAAGTCCAACAAAATTTAAATGTGGCAAAATGAATATATAAATAAATAAATACTCAAACCTGAAAAGTTGTGGCTCCCTGTTTTCATTTCATTGTCGTTGTACACTTGATGGCTTAGTTGTAACACTGTGCTACAACTATCCCCCCTGTGTAAGAAATATGTTAAGCCTAGATAACGTTAACAGTTGCTAGGAGTTGCGGATATGTTTCAAAATGGTGCTATGTTTTAGCCAACAAGACAGTGAGGTAATAAAGTTAGATTTGGTGACGTACACACCCAACTGAAACCGAAAGAAACGTAGGCCTACGATGAAAAAAAATGTACTTGCCTGGTATAAAAACACTCTTTTGTCCTGCAGTATCTTCACGAAATCTTATCAAAACTTTCCAAACATCCGCGGGAGACTGTCTTCTGGCAGCGAGAGAAACAGAGCTGAAACACAACCTGCTTGTGCTTGACCCTGACTAACTGTAAAAGGTCCGTGCTACATTTGACCCCGTGTTAGGTTGTGCCCCGCGCTCCCCTACACGTAATGTGACATGCTAAACTAGTTTAAACAGCTATTTCCTTTATAAATATTATGAGACTTTGAAATATTAGTTGCCTAGCCTACTTCTAGTAGGCCTACACTGCATGACTTTAACTAGAGGCGTCAAAATGGTGATTAAAATGGTGAAGTTTATTACAAATGGTGACCAGTCGCAGGACCTGAGATATTAACTTCCCCTATACAGGCTACGTTCATAAAAACTGTAGAAAATAAAAACCTGTATAAAAAAAAACTATAATTTTTAATGTTGATAAAAAGAGCCACATTATGAATCAACTGACCTTGTAGGCCAACTTGTGAGAGTGCAGTGACATCCTAATGCATTTTAAAAAAAAAAAAAAAAAGAAAAGAAAAGAGGAACATGTTTAAATAGGCAATTATTATTACTGAGATCAGGCTTTTATTCTGAGAAATAGTCAGCAAAACATAGCCTACATCCTAAAAGTGATTGGTTATTTTTGCTTTTGTATTTTCAAAAGTCTAGTCGAAAGCAGTAGGCTAAGGCTAAGTTACTTACAGTTTGATAAAATTCACCAGTCTGAATCCAAATTCTCGTGATGCATGTAGGCTAGAGCTGAAGTGTTGTTGTTTTTTGCGTGTGTGTTTTTTTATCAGTGGTAGTCGCGGATGTCCAATTTTATAATAAAGTTAGACTAATTACTCAACATAAGAACAGTTCACAACTCACCTCAGAAATTCGCGCCATTCCCTGCTTTTAGCTCGGCCGACCGCGCTGCTGTAAAGCGCATGCGTTCAAGCTGAAAGGTGAGGCACTTGTGACTTAGGCCTATGATATGCTTGACGGATTTGGCATAATAAAGGCATAAAGGCATAAATAAATTAAGTAACCTAAGAGCTGGGGGTTTACTACAGTTAAATTGGAAGAAGAAAAAAAACGATTATATGTCAACTACATATAGAGCAGGTAATAATCCAAATATTATTTTATATATCATACTGTATATTTTCTTTTACTATTTCTTGTCTATTTTTGTTCAATATTGTTCTACTATGTGTTGGACTATTGACATGTTTATTATTTGTAATGTGATTGGCATTAAATAATAAAGAAAAACATAGAATGCAAAAAAAAAGGTAGGCTAATAATCCAAATTTATTTAAAATGGTGAATTGAAAAAAAAGCAATATATAAAGAAAGTAATTGTGTTTCATATTTAATCTCCATTCTATTTATCATTCACTCTCAAAATTAACTTTGTTATTTGAAGTAAAAGCATCAATTTCTGGTGCGCATTGTAATATACATCAGGCATCCAAGTAAAAGTAAACCTATTATTTGCGCAAATCAGGACAATGTACAGTAAATCTGTAATTTTCACAAAGTAAATTTCAGGACCCCAATACAAAGCTATTTATAAATAAAAAATGTAATGACTTGAAATACTGATTTGGGTTTAAATGGTTTTATTAGGCTATGTGGGAAGAAAAGAGAGTGTAGAGTGAATCGAGACACATGAACCTAAAAGACTAGGAAATCATTTGACTGAAACAACGATAGCCTATACTGTTTAGCCTCATTAAATATTTGGACAAAGAATGACACCATTGACCAATCAAAAGTAACACTGCATAATCTTTTTGTTCAAATTAAAAATCAGTTTGAGTGTTTAATGATCATAAAACAGTAATTCTATCTTAAACACACTGTATACTAATATCTTAGATGATAATGCAAATATATGTGGCATAACAATAGTAGCAAACCTATAAAATAATTGAAGACAATGTGATAAAAAGTAATCTCGACTGATGTTACATCAATGTATAGAGCATTATTATTATTAATAATAGTATGCTGACACTAGAACTTTCCATTTATGACAGAATATTCATGTACATTTTTAATCAAGACAAGTGTGCGGCTGTATCAGTTAACATGACGTTACCATGATCAGTAGACGCACTATTAACTTCCTCAAAACATTCAGCACCAGTCTAATAGCATCAGTATTGCAGATTGCAAGCTACTGTCATCAACAAAAACCCTGTTAATTCATATAAATAAAGATAAAAACAGTGCAACAAAAACTGTGCATTGCTAAGAATATCAAAACTCATTGTAACATAAAACAATATTCCTTCTCTATCATATGTGTTTCATTGCAGATGTTTTAGATGCACTAAATAAGAGTTTCATAACTTCTCGACAGAAAGTTTTTTAAAAAGGTGACACTTCCTACTGAAACGTGCTAGAATAAGCTACTTGTGATGTTTTGCATATCTTTAAGTTTCATTTTAAAAAGAGAAATAACAAAGGCAAAATATCTTTGTCAAGATATACTTCACAAGTGTATTTGGTCAAGAAAATGATTTTGAGAATAATCTAACCAAAAAAAGACACGTCAAGTCGCACTCATGTAATTGAGTAAGATACAAAACATCAAAGCAAGAAAGAGTCTTGTTTGAAAGTGCATATATTTGCCATAGAAACAGATCAAACAGATAAAAGTTTATATCTTCACTACACTGAGTGTATTTGTTGTGACTGGGTGGATCGTGACATTTGCGTTCCCTCCTCAGAGAAAGCCCTTTCAAAAACACGTCTTAGAGAAAGTTTAACTTTGTCCTTAAAATCCTGCCCCATGAAAACATAGAGAATGGGGTTCAGGCAGCTGTTGATATACGCCAAAGAGATGGCCAATGGATCCAGGGCCAAAGCCAAGTCCCTTGATTCCCCTCCGTACTTCATTATCAAGTCCACCGTGTGATACGGCAGCCAGCACAGAAAAAATGCCAGAATAACAGCCAACATGATGCGAAACGCTCGGCCAGAGTGAAAATTACTCGTGCCTAGCTTGCGTGCGATGACTCCATAGCATGATGTGATGCATATGAGCGGTATCAAAAAGCCAAACACAAATCTGATGATACTCAACATTCCGGATGTTGCAAAGTCACCTTCTTCCTCAGCATGAAATGTGCAAAGTGTGACGTTATAATCAGTGAAAGTTCGTCTTAATATCATAAAGGGCAAGCTGAGCACCAAAGCCAGAACCCAGGCCACTACACAGGACAGCCGTGCAAGAAACAAGTTGCGATGATTTTGAGCCCAAACCGGTGTGATCACTTGGGTGAACCTATCAAGACTAATCAAGTTCAAGGTGAAAACACTGGCAAACATGTTAATAACTATAACAGAGGGGAGAATCTTGCACATGACGGATCCATACGGCCAGTGATGGTCAAGAAGGATCTCCGCCATACTGAACGGTATGCAAAGGCAGCACAGGAGGTCGGCAGTGGCTAGATTGAGAAACCATACTGTATTAACGGTCCTCTTCATCTTCATTCCAGCAATGTACACAACAAAGATGTTTCCGGGAACGCCGAGGAGAAACGTCAGGCTGTAGACCACCAGAGAAATCACCCTCATAGAATTGCTCACCTCTGAAGACATTAGGTTTGTCTTGCTTTCATCACTACTCCACTGATCCTCATATCCACTGAAGTTCACGTAGTAGAGGTAATCTTCGGCAGACGTTTGGTTCATTTTGCTTGAGTTGATGCTGTCCAAAGTGCTGTTTATCCTGTAAATATCACATATTATATCAGTCAAACATTTAGCCCATTTAGCAGATGCTTTTATCCAAAATGACTTACAGATTAGGAAAATAAGCAACTTGAGTGAGGCAACAATAAAGTTAATATTGTATGCACATCAGATATTATTGTCTTACAATGTGTACTCACCTCACCAGCTGCTCTGTACTTGCTAGTGATACTTTTCCCCCCTTTCACTGCCACTTTAAGGCGGAACCACAGGAAATGGAAGGAAGTCCTTTGATTAAAAGACTACAGAAGAACGCTTGTGCCAACTACATGAATACATTTCTTATTTAACCGACAATGATTTTCATTATTCTTTCTAGAATGTTGATCTAATCTAATACAATGTTTCAGATTCTTGGTTTCCTCGTTTAAAGAGTGGTAAAACAAAACCACGATTAGAGAAGTAACAGCTGTGGATATCAACAACTTGTTAAACTGCAAAAGTTACATTATGACCAGTCACTATTTGCTGCTATATGTAGAAAAGGCTGTAACCACCAGACATCCCCCAAATAAACAGCAGTTTCTCAAGACAATGTAATTAAACTCGTACTATATGGCAATAGCATCATAATGTGGAATCCGTTTACAAAATGATGGCAGATTACAGTCAGCATGACTGTTTGTGAGTAATACATTCCTAAGAGCTGACTACATGTGAACCAGGAAGGTATTTAGATATTTGTTTGCCTTACCAAATTGGATGAGTTGGCTTACATTAAATGACCCATGAGTTTTAAATTCGGACAAAATTTAGATAGTTTTCTTTTTTCTCTCTTTTTCCTTAAAAAAACATAACAGAGCACCCAAAAAAGTAACACACAATTAATTGAGATTACTTATTTAAACTGGGAACAAAGAAACTTTTAAAAGGAGTCTCTATGGATGAAAAGAAAAAAACATTTTTCCAGATTAATAGATCCTTAAACTCATTAAAAGTCTGGAATAAACATTCAAGACATAGTCACAAAAATGATACAGTTTATTGTGTAATTTAATATTTTTATTGGAAATATTTTGTAAACATTGATCTTCCCACTTTATTGCATGAGAAAAATACAAATAAAAAAACTAAAATAAAATGTGATTATTTACACCGTGGTTTTGGCAAAACAGTTGAACCTAATTATGTGCTTAATTACTAAATAAAAGTGAAAGCAAATGAGCTTTAAAAAGGTACCAACACCAAAACCTACAGAAATAATTTAATTTTCAAACATTACTTCAGTCTTTCATTGAAAAGACACCCACCCACCTCATCTGGCAACAACTATACACAAACAGCAGAGCAATGGAACTATGTTTTTTCATATAATCTATGTCAACCGTCAACATCATTCAACAGTTTTGAGAGTTATTTCTTGCTGTCAAAAGCGCACACACAAAAGTGTAAAATGTTACACTACAGCTATCAGTACAGGTCATATTATGTCCACAGAAATGTTTATCTTTATAGGAAATACTATACCACTGAATCGGTTCATGCAAGGAGAAAATCCATTATGTAACATACAATATGCAACAGTGAGAATGAGTTTAACATTGGAATTAATACAGGTTTACAGTTTGTTTAAAAAATAAAATAAAATCAAATGCAATATTGAATTCCACCAGAAGCTTCACAGCATCCCAAATATTCCACAATTAACCGTAATTCTTGTCAATTCAAGCTAAATACAGGATCCTGATGTGCGGTTAAATTAAATATATACATAATCAAATCTGTACAGTACAAATTGTCAAACATTTTTACTCTCAGATGTCTCCCTACTGCTGTTACTATGGATTTGAAACCAACTTTAGCTTAAACAGCAATCAACCAGCAGAATAGGTTTCCTAACACAGGGTGCAATAACAAGAAGTTCTAAGAAAGTGGCATTTTGTCTCCACAAAAAAAGAAAAACAGTCTATAATAAGTTTTTCTGGCTGTCATCATAAAGATCTATGAGTAACTCCAAACTTACACAGAGGTGACAATGTAAGACCCACTTTCAGTCGTGTCTCCTTTAGTGTCTCTTTTTTTTGCACTGCTTGTAATAGGTGTTGGGATCTGAGATGGTCTAGGAGTTATGCTGTCGGCACTACTCTTTCTGGGGCTTGGTGTGTAATTAAAAGGACTTACTCTAGCAGCCACGGCACCACTAGGGGAGCTGTGTTTGCTAGAGTTAGTTGAGCTAAATGGTGTGCGTTCAGCAACTGGGAATTCATGGACCTCTGTGCCAATGTTTGGATTACTTGGTGCAGGCTTGATGTCAGTGACTTTTTTATCAAGAGACTCGCTACTTCTGAGTAAATTCAGATTTGTTTCTGAACCCAGGTGGGCCACAGCTGCATTCTCACTTCCTTGTGCCTGTTTTGAGTGTGATTCACTTAAGTCCCTGTCACAAGGAAGCCCTTTGCTTGACTGGCTGTCAATAACAGGAGGTGTGTTTGCTGTGGGTGATTTACTAGACCTTGGATTGTTTATGGGGCAGTCTTCAATTCTCACCCAGACATCTTCTGTCTTGGACATAGCAGCACCCATTGAATGAGCAGCATCATCAGTTGAATCTGGTAAGTCTAATGTCATAGAAGGTGCATATGAGGTTTCACTCTCTTTCATTTTCCTCCATGTTCCTTTGCGTTCCAGGCCCCCCTCTTTACCTGATTTTTGAGGTGGATTAGCAGGTTGCCGCTCATCCTCGCTTCTCCCCTTTTCACTGGACTCAGACGAAGCAGAGAGAATGGAAGAGCTGCTGCCAGTTCTTTTCCAAGTGCCTACTCTTGGGAGAGAAGATGAATGTTTGCTGTGCTCCCTTTTCCATGTCCCTGTCCTGTTGATTGGGAGCCTGGAAGGGCTTTCTGAATGAGATCGGGAGATGTCTTGCCTTCGGAGTGACTTGCTATCACCATTCTCTGCAGAGTTCTGATCATGAGGGGACTTTCTCCAACCACTTCCCTGGTAAGGTAGAGTAAGTGACATATCTGGTAAGGATGGACTAGATACTGGAGTCTGTGACTGGCTTGGAGACGAAGGAGACAAGGACTCGAAAGATGCAGACTCCTCTAATTTCCTTTTTAGTGTTGGACTAGGGGCTTCTTTGATAAATGTTGACTGCCGAACAAGTCCAGGCTTCTCGGACCGGTCAGACTCACTCCCACTTGACTTTGTGGATGACATTCTGGACAACTCTGCCTTCTTTGAAGGGCCTGTGGTTCCGCACTGGTTTAGACTTTTTGAGGCAGATTCACTTCTAGGAATTCCACTGGTACTTCTCTGCAAACCACTCTGCTTTGCTGGTGTTTGCAGGCCCAGTTGCCTCCCTGGAGAAGTGTAAGCCATGCGTCCGGATCCCGAAGATTTTGTTGAAGCAGCACTGGGGGAAGCAGTGCGAGGCAGTTGAGATAATTTGTTAGATGGGCCCAAACCATTCCTACCAGGTGAAACTGAGGAACGACCAGGAGACTGCATGGGCCTTGTTAGAGATTGCTGAACTGGTCTAGAAGGTGTAGAGTCCCTAGACCCAGATCGAGAGGAAGCTTTACTTGAGCCTCCTTGAGAGGATGGTGAGTCCCTGGCAGGACTAGGCTCAGAATTTGCTGCGACTTTCATTGTTCTTGGAGAGTTTCCTGGACCAGATGCTTGGGATGGTGGTTTTGACATTTGGCCACGCGGAGGGTTTTTTTTGGGTACTGGACTGGTGCTGGGAGAGCTGCTCCTCACACCAGGAACATGAATCATTGTCCTCCCTCTGGAGATCACAGGAGCTTGTGCTTGTCTGTGCTGAGAGGACATGCTTTCTAGGCTGGGTCTAGGCTTTCCTGTGATTAAACTTTTATACACTTTCTTTCCTCCTTTCAGACTCTTAACAGATTCTTCCTCTTTCTTTTTGACCTCTAAAGTGTTTTTTTCACCAGGTTTTAGTATTCTTGGCCCTTTATTTGTAGCAGGCTTGTTGTCATCTTGATTTAAAGGAAGGTGGAAAGGTGATCCAATGGAGATGCCCGACTTGAGAGAGAGAATAGAGTCTGAATCAGAAGAACCTTGTCTGGAGAGACTCGCTGCAGCCTGATGTAGACTGCTAACTATAGAATTAGCGCCCTCTTGAATGGCTTTCCAATCAAATGATTCAGAGTCTGGTGATAAGGCTTGCTCTGAAATAGGGCTATGTGTGTCCGTGAGATCTAACATAAGATCCGGTTCTTCTGCTAAAATACCATCTGCCAATAAGCTCTTTTCTTCCTTACCCCCTTGTTCCTCTGCCTTGCTTCTTTGTGGCTGTTTCTTTTTCTTTGGCATTGCAGAGCTGATGCATTCTTGGAGAAGGTCATCTTCAGAATCGATACTGAGAGAGCTAAGGGAACTATTTCTAGAGAAGCACACAGGGGTGTCCTCCACATGAAAAGCCTTTGGCGCATAACCAGAGGCTTGCGGCCTAGGTACTTCCATCTGAGTTGCATCATCTTTGTGTGAACAGTCTTTGTTGTTGTTTTCTTGGTCGATGTCACTTAGTGAGCTAAGTGATGAGTTTCTTGAAAAACATACAGGTGTGTCTTCAATGGAAAACTTTTGCTTCTCGTCGCACACTGCAACTGTATTTTCTTTGGGTGCTTGTTGAAAACTTACAGGTTTTTGAATGGGTTTTGTTGGAGCAGTCTGAAATGCTGATACTCTGTTGGTGCTTACTGGCTGTTCTACACTGCACTTCACAGGGGGGAATTTTCTTTGCTCTTTATCTTTTCGTAGCTCAGCTTTTTCCTTAGACAAGTCAAGATCGTCATCCTCAAAGTCAAGTGAACTCAGTGAATCATTGCGAGAGAAGCAATAAGGTGTGCCCTCAATTGGTGTGTAATGATGCGGAGAATCAAAGGCAAACCCAGGACGTGGTCTCTCCTCAGCATTAGAAGGCTTATCGGCAAACTCTCTTGTGATTACTTTGGGCTCCTGCTTTTTGGTTTCTT